AGCCAATAGCGGAACAAACGAAGTTTGGATGGGTCATAATGAGTCCTGGGGTCGAATTTGACCAAAGTACCATGCTACTAACCACGACCTCGCAGGCTGACTTCGAGCGGTTGTGTCGACTAGATGTTCTCGGGCTCGAAGATACTTCTGAGAAGGACCCCCGACCAGTCTATGACGAGTTTAAAGAAACCCTCTCTCGCAATGAAGAGGGCTGGTACGAAACCAGCCTACCGTGGAAATCGAACCATCCAAAGCTCCCATCGAACGAGCAAGGAAGCCAACGAAGACTAAAGAATCTAGTGAAGCGTCTCGAGCGTAAGGAAATGTACGAAGAATACAACAGTATTATCCAGGATCAATTAGAGAAGGGGATCGTCGAGCCAGCGCCTCTCACAGCAACCGGGAAAGAGTTTTATGTCCCCCACAAGCCTGTCGTGAAAGAAACCGCCGAGACGACGAAGTTACGCATCGTTTATGATGCTTCAGCTAAAGAGACAGTCTCTGATCCCTCCCTGAATGATTGTTTAAATCCAGGACCGTCGCTTCAGAACCATCTGTGGGACGTTCTCATTCGTTCGCGTTTCCATCCGATACTGCTGACAGGTGACCTGGAAAAAGCCTTCTTGCAAGTGAGAATACGGGAAGCTGAACGTGATTCGCTCTGATTCCATTGGAAAGCTCCAGGAAGTGACGAAGTAGTCGTGTACAGATTCACGAGAGCGTTGTTCGGTCTAACCTGTTCCCCTTTCCTCCTTGGAGGAGTGTTGAATGAACACCTGACAGCATGGGAGACAAAATATCCATCCCTGGTGGATGAGATTAAGAAGGGCTTGTACGTCGACGATGTTATGACAGGGGGTGAGAGCGTTGAAGAAGTAACCGAGAAGAAGTTGAAGACGACTGAGATCTTTCAAGACGCGACTTTCAACCTGCATAAGTGGCATTCCAACGTAGCCGAACTGGAAGATATACCCCAGAACGACCAAGCTGATAAGACAGATGTACCAACATTCGCAAAAGAACAGTTTGGAACGCACGGAGCTGAATCGAAGATTCTTGGTATGTCTTGGAACAGGCAAAAGGATACGTTGAGTGTCGTGGTGGACAAAGAACGAAGCGCAACGACCACCAAGAGAGGAGCCCTATCACAACTGGCAAGTGTTTACGACCCACTTGGCTTAGTTTCCCCGACGACCCTACATGGGAAACTAGTCTATCGTGGAATGTTGGGGCCAAGAATTGGTTGGGGCCAAGAATTACATGATCCCTTGAAGAAGCGGTGGGCAGAATGGTACGAGCGGTTACCTGATCACTACACAGTCCCTCGAACGTTAACCCCTTACCAAGAGCCAGTACAATCAATATGCCTCCATGGTTTCGGTGATGCGAGCAAGGACGGTGTGTCGGCAGTTGTATACGCAGTAGCTAAGCAAGAGAGTGCGACTACGCAAGGTATTGTGTGTTCGAAGTCTCGGATTGCGAAGAAAAATCTATCAATTCCACGGTTAGAACTCGTAGCTGGTCATATGGCCTCAAACCTTGTGACAAACGTCGAGCGAGCGATTGGTAGCGAGAAGATCACGTCAGTCCACTGTTGGCTAGATTCCACAGTCGCTCTGTACTGGATAAATGGCCAGGGCGAATATCGGCAATTTGTATCCAACCGAGTGCAGAAGATCCGAGAGAACGAGCGAATTAAATGGCACCATGTTCCAACAAACGAGAATCCTGCCGACCTGGGAAGTCGCGGAGGAAATGTTACCAATAACGTATTATGGCAACATGGACCCGAATGGCTGAGCGACCAAGCAAGATGGCCACCGGAAGTGGTCCCCGTGGTGACCTCGGAAGCCAAAGAAGAAGAAAAGGCTTCAGTCCGAGTGATGGTTGCAGTAAATCAACCAGTAGCAGAAAATGTATTCGACAAGCTCCTTGGAAAGTATCCATTGCGAAAAACCCTACGAATTTGTGCTTGGGTGAATAGATTCGTTCGAAACTGCAGGAACGAGAGCAACAAACATGAATCAGGGCCGATTAAGACCCACGAAATCGAAGAGCGTACGCTATGGTGGATCAAGCGTGTGCAAGAGGAGACCAAAGATAACCCCGAACTTTCCAGTGCAAAAGTTGAGCTGAATCTTCAACCTAACCAAAGTGGAATCCTGGAGTGTCGAGGGCGGATCGAAGGCGACTATCCAGTATATTTACCTACGAACACGGTCTTCACGAAGAAAGTTGTAGAGCAAGCCCATATCATTACACTCCATGGCGGAGTACCGGCGACGATGGCAGAAGTACGAGAACGTTATTGGGTGCCTAGACTACGCCGTCTTGTGAAACAGATACGAAGCAACTGTCATGGTTGTGCTAGATTCCGGGCACAATCGTATCAAAGACCACCCCCGGGCAGATTACCACCAACACGAACCCAAGGGACAACTCCTTTCCAAGTATTAGGAGTCGATTTTGTGGGCCCTATTCGTTACAAAACTAAAGCGAAAGCCGAAAAGAAATCGTATCTAGTTCTCTACGCGTGTAGTTTGACAAGAGCGGTGCACCTCGAATTATTAAAGTCGTTGGAAGTAATGTAGTCGAATTCCTGCCGAGTTTAAAGAGATTAATTGCAAGAAGGGGGAGGCCACAAGTGATATATTCTGACAACGCGACAACCTTTAAAGCCGCGGAGAAATGATTGCAACAAGCTCAGAAAGACGAGAGATTCAACGCACTTCTTACGGACAAAGGAATCCGGTGAAGATTTAATTTGAGTCGGGCGCCACGGTGGGGAGGACAATTTGAACGATTGATAGGCCTCTTTAAGCGGAGTTTTTACAAGAGTATTGGAAACGGAAACTTAACCTGGGAAGAATTGATGGATCAATCGACCGTTAAGCTATTTAGAAGATGATGTGGAACAACCTGTGCTCACCCCAACCAAACTGTTACAAATTAACCCGAATGTTATCCCCGAAGTTCAACCCCACCATCTTGATGGCGCTGACCTTCGTAAAAGAGCTAAGTTTCTTCGAAAGTGCAAAGAGTTAATGTGGAGACGTTGGTCACGAGAATATGTGCGAGGCTTAAGAGAACGACATCGACAGGAAAAGGGCGAACAAGGGACACATCCCAACCGTGGGGATGCGGTTATTATCGGAAGCGAAGAAAAGAATCGAAATTTGTGGAAGTTAGGTACAGTCGAAGGGTTAATTCGAGGACGTGATGGCGTTGTACGGGGAGCGAAGGTAAAAACAGTGAATGGACAACTCGAACGAGCGGTACAACACCTTTACCCACTCGAGCTCTCTTGCACAGAGAACCACCCGTAAGTTTGAACCCGACCGCCCCTACCTTCAACCCTAGACCGAGACGTGACGCGGCAGCTGCAGCAACCGTCCGTATACAACAAGAAGCAGAAGAAGAAGATTGGTGACATTTATTTTAATATTTTATTAACTAACATTTTAGTTGTTTATATAGGTAGACCATAAGGAACTACGACGATGTCAGTCCCTTAGTGAGCATATATCTCAGTTGAGATATATGGGGGAGTGTGTCGGAACTGACTGATAATTATAGATCTAATTAATATGTTGACATGCATGACGCACGAAGTCGAGAGAGATTAGAGGAGAATGGGTCGAGTGAGTGTGAAAAAAAAACGAGTGAGTCACAAGGAGCGAGATATTCGAGAGAGAATTGTGACTGTGACTGTGAGCGATTGTGAGAAGGTCTAATCGATAGACAAACAGCGAACATATATATATATTGGGAACATTACGTTAACTGGGACACAAGAGAGAACATTCTATACTATTCTATTAATTGATTTATTGTTACTGTTGGGTTAAATATAATATATTATTAAAACATTTGTGATTTCGTGACTTGTCGGGAACTACGTTAAAGCGGAGGCGAATTCTCGACACAATACATTGAGTTACTATACTACCACAACACAACACAACACAACACAACACAACACAACAACTCTGTTCATTAAACAATTACTTTTGCAGTACCTGTTTGTAAGTCCTCTGGCTTTGACTTGGGTGATGATGTAGTTTGTTCTAGTAAGAAATAATTTGGTGAATAAAATAAATAAATACTATATATTAATTAAATAGTAAATTCTATATTCATTACTCCAACAATTACGCTTACCTTTAATTGCACATACTGTGTTGGGATCTCTAGATCCCAAGTATCTACATTTTGGGTCTTTAATTTAATTGGCATTAAGCAAATTGAAAATGATGATGGTCTAATACCAAATCCCATTTATAGGTACAAAATGTTGTGGATTACTGCTATAAAATTTAATTTTCTTTATAATATTCTTTCTGTTTTAATTCAATAAATCCATAGGATAATATGAAAGGTTTTAAAAATAATTTATCATTTGCTACGTTTCGGACAATTTGACTTCTCCATTTTAAGGCTTAAATTATTCACAAAGTTGCAAATATTCAAATACATAAATTCACCGTCCACTGTATGTATAGCAACTTACCATCATTATTGCAATCCATAATTGCTTGCAGCCTGTGTTAAAAAAATAAAAACAATTATTATAGCAATAGTTACAGTCTGATGCAAGCAAATATTGGTTTGTGATCACTATAATATGACTCAAGAATACCTGAAGTGTATATTAACCTTGGAATATTTGTGTATATGTGATCTATTTGAGTTTGGTAATCTGTTGTACAATTAGTGATAAGTTGAGTATAACCTTTGGATTGAACCATATTTGATAAAAGAGCTTTGTGTTCATGGGAATTCTTGCTCAAATCGACATTGAAATCTCCAAAAACAATTGCTCGCTGGTTCACAAGTTGAGTTGTTTGGAGATGATCTAATGCTTCAATAAATTGACTAAATTTAACTTTAGTTGGGGAACGATATATACTAACAATATGAATGCCCTGATGCCCATTTGACGAAGGATGGTTGATCACAGTTATAGTTATCTCTACTTTATTGTAATTGTATCTGAATGGAAGTGTTATGCAATCTAACAAATTCTTAATATAAATAGCACTTCCATATGGAGTTCGGGTAACAATTTGTGGCTCAATGTCATTTCTAAATAGATCAAATCCTTCAAGAGAATAATCATCATCATTGTCATTTGAGCATAAAGCTGTTTCAACTAATATGTTTATGTCAGCTGCCTGAACATTAAAATCAGTCAAAACATCATCAACATGTAGGTGAAGTGATCTTACATTTTGAAAAAGTATTTTTAGCACAGCAGTATCAGAAACGCTATCTAACGATGGAAGACATATATTAAGAAGCCTGTTCGACCTTAGCCTGAGCATCTCCTCTAATACTTTTGGGCTTACTTTTATTTTATTTTCATTTAAACGAAGAATGTGAAGAGAATCAATATTTCTTACTCTATATTTCTCACTTGCATGTAACCATATCACCCAGACTTAGTTCATTTTGCAATATAAGTTGTGCAAAGCACCTTGCACATGGTAGCGCACTTCCAGTTGTTCTCCTTCCGTCATCTGGTGCTTGAGATTAAGCACTTCCCATCTTGGCACTCATCATTTCGGTCTCGCGATCGTCTATGCATCTGTTCTTAACATAGTTCGGCGGTCGTTTAGTCGCTCAAAAAATAGGCGTGTCAGATTTAAATGTCACATCTTTGTCGAAATGAGACTTTGGAGCAGGTAAGTTGATTTGCTGACCTTCAAGCAATAAAAGTAGATCATGCCATGCTATGATTTGCCATCGAAAATCATTGAGGAAAATCACTTCAGAATTTTCAGCTCCAAGCGAAACTGGTACACACTGGATTCGAAAATATGTGGCAGATTTTGTTTAACAGATTAAATAAAACTGTCTTCCCACAATTGGCTGGACCTGTGGGCATTACATTCCTGTACTTCAAAGCACATATCACCCACTCTCTGTGTGTTTTGCCTCATAAGCTTCTTACAATATGTCCATACGAGATTAGTTTCTCCAGGTTCCTCTTACCAATGTATGATCTGCATTCTCCAGGTCCGCAGCTGATATATAACTTGCTTTGTTTTTTCAACCATTAAATTGTGTAAGCAACATGCTGCAAAAATTATGTTTGTGACTTTTTCAGGTGATGGTTTAATGGTTGTTAAAATACCCTCCACCTATGGGCTAAAATTCTATAATTGAATATATGCTTCTCTTTCTCCAAATTGCGATAAGGGTACGGCTTCATCATTCGGGCATTCAAAGGAAAGGCATCATCCCCCACAACATGATGTGAAATCTTTGTTGATATTCCCTGTGATGCAACTGCATCAGTGAGATCTAAAGGGTTTATTGTTAGTGCTTTTTGCAATTCTGAACGAACTACATCCAAAAGAAAACAGGCCAAAGAAGAATATCATTTAATTAAAAATTTGTCGCAGTCAATTGCAAACAAACATAAAAGAAAACGGAATAATACAATTTTTGAGGCCTTTGGAAATTGTGTAGCCCAGGCATTGTCTGAATTGGATAAAGTAGCCAGTCATTTAGCCCAGAATAAGATAAACAACATTTTTCAAGCACAGGCTGGATTACTAACCCAGCAAATGCAAACACACACAGGCAATGATTCAATCCCAGTCCCAGAGAAATTACTTCCACCCAATGATGCAACCTGGTATGTCGAGAAGCCCTCAACTTCCCATTTATGTGCAAAAAAGTGTACCTTGCAGTGATGATTATTGCTGAACACTACAAGTAGTTGCAAACCTGAGCCTTTCTATTATTGTACAAATACTGTTTGCTTCTTTACTCTTTTTGTTGTGTTACTATGTTATAGTTATATATTTATCAAAATTAAATATATACCTTTAAATATTTGTCTTTCAAAACTTCATGCAAGGCTTGACATGTTTCTTCTACAATCCCAGATATTGTTCTCTCGCCAATTCGGTATTGAAAAGAAAGACTTCTAAATGTCTCTCCTTAAAAAAATAAGTGTTTTTACATAGTCATAAGTATTTTAAAAATGCATAAATTTAATTAATGAAGAACTTCACCACTAATTAATCAATAAAATAAAGCTTAGTGGAAAACAATTAACAAAACACAAGCTGTAGCCAAAAAACGTAATGTCACGGACAGTCGTTCAATAGGCTTTAAGGAGTTCCGTAGTTGAGTGTCTTTCTTTTCAATTAATGGTGACACCAACGTTAAGATTTATTCAAATGAATTTCTGTCTAACCGGTGATATTGTCTGAATTTTTCTGGATCTTCGCAGTTCAATTCATGAACAACATTTGCACATGCCCCGTTTGGCAGCGTGAAACCCATGATTTTATCCATGTCTTTCGATTAGCCGCTCTCAAGCAACTTCATCTTCGCCGTAGTAATAAAAGGGGAAGCAAAATCTCCTAATCTTCTGACAAGCTCGAATGTTGATTTTCATTGACATCTGCCATCTTGAATTTTGCATATGAAAAGAACACAAGCGCATTTGCATCGATTACTGAGCTGATAGCTCAGAACACGCACACACTGTGAGGAAATGTTCACTTGTGCACGAAATTATTCAACATGTTGAATATCCGACGCTGATGGCATGTGTGGTGGAAATCGCAGAACATGACACCGCACACTGGAGGAAACAGCTTATGAGTGACGCTCAGCTCAGCTGATAGCTCTAGTGTGTGCCGGGCTTTAGGATTAAGGTGTCAAAGTGTGGACTTTACTTGTCCAACAGATGGTGTTGGGGGGAGGAACATCTTTCAGAAGATGTGAAACAGTCTGAAAGTCTGGAACATTAGTTGGACAGACCTCTTGCCATGGCTTGATAAATGCCTGTTGTAGTTGCTCTACTAGATATTCAGTAACCTGGGCAGGCGGAATACAGTTCTGGGAGTCATTGATAGTTGCTAGTCCGTATATTGTCTTATACCATTTCTCCAGCTGCAAGACATGTAGGCCTTTGCCATTAGATAGGTAATAACTTTCACAGAGTACTTTATATTAGCAGATATCTCCGATTGTGTAGGCATGTTGTAGAGCTTTGAGCTCTTTTTTAATACGGGGTGTCATCCAAGGCTTATCCGTGGGGTGCATGTGTACCAGTGCGTTCAGGTGATGTTTCATCAAGGTGACGCTTTAAGGTGGCAGTAAACAGGCGAACTTTATGTTTGCAGATTTCATTTCTCGGACTTGTCGGGTATACGGCTTAGTTTTCAGTTTCAGTGCCGGCTGCAGAAGAAGGCATTGATGATCTGAGCATCCTAGTGGGGGTAGATGTGGGATTGTTTATGGTAACTAAACCACATAATTCGGTCACTTTATTCATAACATGGCATGCATTAGTAATAAAGATAGGGATAATGATGGGATAGGATATCCAGTCTGTGTTACTTCTGTTTTAATGGCAATACAATTCATTGCATTATGGGATCCGGGAAAACTGTTTCTAGCACATTTAGACAAAGATGAAGAGAGGGTGATTTGAACAGGGATTTGTTGGGGTTTGAAGTTAAAGGAGCTATGTCACCATCTGCGCATCTTTTCTGCGCATACCTAATATATTCGGAAATTATTCGGAAAACGTGGGAAAGTTGTCAAGGAGCGATGCATGATGTCTTCCTGTAGTATGAATACGGTAAGAAAACATGAATAAATTTACATATATTTTTGTGGGAAATTGATCGATCTTTCATGAACACGACATGGGTTGAGTATTGTGAATGCAAGAGCTCTTGTAGTACTAAAAGGAAGGAGAATAGTAGCCGAGGATGCCCTTGCAAGGGTCGAAATGTCGTGTGCTCATCAAGTTGTCGATGTGGCACTCGAAATAAACTTTCTACGAATAAGGTTAGTCTGTCGATTATATGTTTTCAATACATTCATTTGGCTTACAGTTTGATTCGTTAAAAAATCAAATCGTTTTGTAGTCATTTTATATATACAAATCATGATTCAGGAACGAGGAGAGAACTCACAGCCCACTGCTCGCACTACGTCGCAAAGAAAGTCGGTAGCTGGATTTCGCCTTTCTCATCCATCGGCTGATTCCGAAGAAACGCAAAGAGAAAAGGAACACGAAGATGTAAAAGTATGTAGAGCACCAGAGATCTGTTTGTTTAGTTTCCTAGCTAAACTTCCCTGTAGAAGACATAATTTGCTAAGTCATTTATATTTTGATATTATAAACGTATACAAATACAGTATGTTTACTATATTGAGTATTGATTATTTGATTGAGATTTGGTGATATTGTTTGCAGTGAAAATCTCTTTAAAATTAAATGATATACATGCAGTAGCTGTCAAATAACCTTGTAAAAGGCCATGTAAAGTCCGTAATGTAAACAAACGCTTTGTTTACATTTTGAACTCAGTGCTGTAGTTGTAAAATTTGATTAGATATACTGTACGTGTAATATATTATACTGAATTTTCTAACCATGTCTTTTGGACACATGGTGAGAGACCAAAAATGTACTGCAAACAGTATTCAAATAGTTCTAAGCTGAGAAGCCATATATGTTTATCCTTAGGTTTAATCAATCTAATTTGATAGGTACTGTATTCATGTATTTTAGGACTTTATTGCCACTTTGGATGAAGCGATGGTGAGGAAGCTAGCTGTTCGGGGCCTCAGGAGGGGTATTGGAAGTATGGATTATATCCATACCCTCCTAATAATGGAGGATGACCTTGATCAGACAGAACATGATGAGGATATGGGTGCATTTGAGGAAGATTCAGGAGAGCTGCGTAACGATAAAGATCAACCCCATAGCTCAGCAGGCCCACCTGAACCACACAACCACTTGCCTACATCAGCACCAGACTGGTGTGTATGTGGATATTGTAGACCCATGCCACAGGAGATAGAAAATAAATGCTGCAGACAAAAAATTGTATTACACTAACCTCAAGGTTTGCTAAAATATGCTTAGACCCAGATGTTTTGGAGTTATGTATTCGAAACACTGGGGACATTCGCAACGATCAGGAGGATAATAGTACCCGAGCATTTAGAAAAGCTGGATACAGACAGTTTGTATTAGCACGTCATGGCCACCTCGGAAAGGGAAATAGAAGGGTTTGCCCATCTTGTGTTGTGTTAAAAATACGGGGACGATATCCATCTGTCACAGGAGTGTATATGGGCTTTAGGGAGCACTGAATCTATTGAGATTGAAGTCAGGGACTTATTTATT